TTTACGATTTTCATGAAAACTAACACATTCTTAATGGTTTAAATATAATTTGCATATATAGTCAGCAATTTAATTTTTAAACTGTTAGACTAATTCTTCATACATGAAATTCGTAAAACGCACGATGCAAATTAATACGGTAGTTTAAATTCATAAATATTTTGCCTACAGTAATTGTAATTAAAATCATACTTAATAAATAAATTTCCAGTTTCAGAAAATCTGTTTTCTGTTATTGTAAACATTATTAGTAGTCCAATGATGAATTTTGTCGTATTTATTCAGAATGGCAAAATTCCTTTTGGGATATATTATAGAGTTTTATAATTTATTAAAATTTTTGTGCATCCGTTTTCGGTAGCTTATTCATTTCCAAAGAAATCTTTTAAAACGAAGCAAAGCTCCTTTGATATATCAAATTAACTTTGCTTTGTCTTTTAATGAAAATAAAAACTTGAAAATTATTCTCTAGGCAGTTTTCACAGTGTATTATTTTTACACTTAATGTACTCAGTTAACATTTTTTGCATTGTAAAAAGGACGGATTTATCTCTAAATAAAGAATGTAGTGGTAAATTAAAGATGCTCCCTTTTACTTTAATTAAATAATTCTTTGTCGTATGAGTGTCTAATGAAAAATGTGTGTGTATTCTTAAAAGATGCCTTGCAGTTTTTTTCACCCCCTGCCGTCTGGTTTCAGTTACTGATCGACATACCAGTGGGTAAAAAAAGTATTGGCAATTACCTATAATTGATCATATTACCTAACAAAAAGAAATGCTTGACAATTTTAGCTGGACATACCAAGCACAGGAGGTAATAAACACACAAGTATAATGAAACTTTCAATTTAATATGCCTTCTACACAAAATGTGCTACAAAAACGTAAATTTGCATGTCAAAATGATATTGGCAAAGTTCTAACTGCTATGCAAATTTTGTTATGTTGAGATCACGTGTTTGAACTGATAAGAAACCCTGTTACTATAAAGTCTGCAGTGCTACTTCAAAACTTTATTTTGCTAATACTGTGATAAAATGACTTCGAAGTCAAAGGAGTAGGATGTTAATGTTAAAAGCATGATTATTCAGCTCAGAAATGACTGTTTAACTTATCGCGTTACAGAAATACAGCTGAACATAAGTTTATTTACTGTTAGAAGTATGGTAAAAAAGTTCAAGGAGAGAGGATCGACGGAAAATAAGATTAGAAGTGGAAGGCCTCGAATATTTTCTGCGAGGGAAAACAGGGCATTATTAAAGAAAAACCCTAAAATAATTGTACTTCAGTTAGCCAAAGATTCTGCTAATACTTCGCATAAAACTTTTAATGTACAGACTATACGGAATGTCTGACATGGAGGAAGTTATTATGGAAGGGCAGCTAGAAAGAAACCTTTCATCTCAGAATAAACAGGAGAAAGGGATTAAATTTTGCAAAATCTCATTTAAATGTATCAGAAGAATTTTGAAACACTGTTATTTTGTCCGACAAATCGAAGTACATTTTCGAGAGTGATGGACGACAACATGTGTGGAGAAAACCTAACATCGAACTGGGAAACATGTTGGAGGGAGCGTCGTAGCAAATGCAGTTGGTAACCTGTGCTTCACTGATGGTATTATGACAGCACGCACGTACATTGACATATTGCGCCATAACATGAAATTCAGTACCCACAAACTTGGCTTAGGAACATCATTTGTATTTCAACAGGACAATGACCCTAAGGGTACAGTGAACTTCATCTAACAATAGTTACTCTGTAGAGATATTAGGTTATTTCGAGGCCGGAGAGATTAAAAATTAGCAACGTCGGAAGGGATACCGTTTTTAGCATTACGTTGTAGAGACGTTAGGTTTTTTTTTTTTTTTTTTTTTTTTTTTTTTGGAATCTGGCAAGATGAAAAATTAGCAACGCCTTCGCCGGGAATCGAACCACGGACCTCTGGAATACCGGCACAGCGTGCATAACCACCACGAAGGCACGCTAGGAAAGTGGGAGAAATACCTTATGTACTCCCCTTTTTAAAGGGCGACTGGGGTTTTCAGGGGACCCAATCGCCAAATCCTGTCTGTGGAGAGTCATCATCTACAACCCTTTTTGTTCGGCCGCCACTGTAGAATCATTAGGATTTTTTGGAACAAGAGAGTTTGAAAAATTAGCAAAGCCTTCGCCGGGAATCGAACCACGGACCTCTGAAATACAGACTCAGTGTGCTGACCACTACACAACGAAGGCACGCTAGGAAGGCGGGAGAAATACCTTATATACTCCCCCTTTTTAAAGAGCGACTGTGGTTTCTAGGGGACCCAATCGCCAAATCCTGTGTGTGAAGATTCATCATCCACGACCCTTTTAGTTCGGGCACCATTGTACGGACATTAGGTTTTTTTTTGGATGCAGGAAAGATGAAAAATTAGAAACCGCCTTCGCCGGGAATCGAACCACGGACGTTTGGAATACCGGCCCAGAGTGCAGAACCACTACACCACGAAGGCACGCTAGGAAAGTGGTAGAAATACCTTATATACTCCCCTTTTTAAAGGGCCACTGGGGTTTTCAGGGGACCCCAATAGCTAAATCCTGGGTGTGGAGAGTCATTATCCACAACCCTTTTAGTTCGGGAGCCACTGTAGAGTCATTAGGAATTTTTGGAACTAGAGAAATTGAAAAATTAGCAACGCCTTCGCCGGAAATCGAACTACGGACCTCTGAAATACCGGCTCAGTGTGTTGACCACTACACCACGAAAGCACGCTAGGAAGGTGGAAGAAATACCTTATAACTCTCTAACGCTCCTCGCCAATTAAAGACACCGCCTCAATCACCTGACATAAATTTTTGGCACAAATTGGACCTAAAAGTCAGGAAACATAAAATTTCGTGTAAAGATGAACTTAAGCGTATACTCCAGCAAGAATGGCACAGAATTTCCAATATAACTTTGGTTTTTCCCAATAAGATTTTTTCAACAACCAGGACTTTGGTTTTCTCTATGAGAAATCGATTACAAGCTGTTATAGATGCAAAAGGTATGAATACAAAGTATTAAATTTTGTTCCCACATTTTGCTGTATGATTTTGCCAATACTTTTTTGACGTGCGAATTTACGTTTTTGTTGTATATTTTTGTGTAAAAGGCATATTAAAATGAAACTTTCATTAGATTTGTGTCTTGATTGCCTCCTGTCTTCATTATGTCCAGCTAAAATTGTCAAGCATTTCCTTTGTTAGCTAACATAATCAATTATAGGCAATTGCCAATACTTTTTTTTTTTTAAACCCACTGTAGATAGTCCTCGTGTGATTTGCCGTTGCTAGCCTAACTTATTGATTGAAATTTCAATCCAGAAGTACATTTAATTTCTAGTTTCGTAAGTTTCATTCTTAAATTTTTATCTTATGTTGAAAAAAAAAGAAAGAATTTTTTTTTTTTTTTTTTGGTATGGGAATCATACCCTATTTGTGTTTCACTGGTGGCCTAGTCTTAAGACCTTTGACTACTGGCAGTTTGCTTCGGAACCCGAACGAACCACCTTTTTGCACTGGCTGTATAGGCGTTTTCGTGTATTCCCTCATGTGCAATGTAAATACGCGCTAGCTTTGAGTAGGAAGTCCTCCACGAATGCATCCCTTCCCTTAGGCTGCTAGTCCTCGTAAGCTTTGCTGCAACTAACTGAGTAAAGCTAACCAATTTTTATTCATTATCTTAACAAAGTATTTTGCAAAATATTGAAATATTAGTGCTTTCTGTAACAAAAGTTAGTAATAGTTTATCAGGCTGGTTGGTTGGTTAAGTGTATGCGGCACAGTCGATGGCAATCTGCCTTCGTAGAAGTCTTTATCAGGAGTTATACTGTCTACGAGGGGTTTTAGTATAGATAGTTCGTTCATCGGCAACCGACCTTGATAAACTACAAGTGCTCATTGGTATATTCGGTCACTCGTGTACTGTAACTTAGCACACATTCACATTATATATGGCGGAAAAAACAAGGAATCCATGCAGCTAGCCCGCTCACCGGGATCTGAATCCGGGTCTAATCACCAGTGGTCAGCGGTTTTACCACTCTATCGCTGGTGGGCTGAGTGGTAATAGTGTTTTAGATAAAATTTTGTTTTGTGTAATAAGTAATTGAGGTTAGTGATGTATGGGATTTCATATTTACTGTAGATGATATTTAACTGTTATGGCGTTGCCGATATTGAATTTGGTTGAAAGCCGTCCCTCCATGCTGTCCTATTTGCAGAGGAAACGCATAATATTTCTGTAGCCAGTTGAAAGTTCAAGAAGACTAGCAATTATTTCAAAATCATGACAGATGCTCCGTTTATTAAAATACTGTAAAAGGATTTTTAAAATGTTAAACGTTTCTTTTACAACTAATGGTAGTTATTAGTTTGTAGTGGCGGCTAACAGGAAACAAGAAGCAAAGTATACAAGCGGAAATAAAATATGATAAACTGTCGCAAATCTAAATAGAAATATGTATCATAATTTAAACGTGAATATGCCTACACATGTTCCAGCAATGGCCGAGTTGATTAGATCGTTGAACATTAGTAGTTTTACTCTTGGTTGCATGAACGTTTTCGTCATTTTCACCATGTGTAACGGGAATACGAGCCAGTTTCCCCTAGTAAGTCCTCCATGAAGCCAACACCCCATTAGGCTCATAGCCCGAAGCACTGTAGATTATCGCAATAAAGAAAAATAAACAAATATTTCACAATATGATTTTTTAATTTAAATCTCAGTATAACATTACAGTTTTGGGAAGCATTCATATGCTCCACTTGTAGTCATTCTAAATGTTTAGATGATATTAAAAGTTTGAGTGCATATTTTGAAGTCAGCGTATACGAAGTTATAATGTCGATTTTATGGAAGTAGATTATATTGACCATTATTCAAGTGTATATGTGCTTGAAAATTAACGTTTTCCTTTTTTTTTTTAAACTTACTTACTTTTTTTTTTTTTTTTTTTTTCCAGAGACTGGTGGACGCAGTCGTCATTCGTTGTGGGTTTTATACCTGATTCTTTTATCTTTACTCACCGACCAATTCAAATCGGTCGTATCTTGCGAGTTTACCTTTGGCTATGAAACTGAAGATTACCTCTCTGCTGTAATCAATCTTACATATGTGGATCCTGCGACAGGTGTACTTATTCAAGAAAATCTAGATATGGGCAAGCTTTTGCCTGGAAAATCTGATGAAGTTAGCGGCATAGTAGTTCATATAACAAGTAATAACCATACCAGCCATGAAGCGTGCGAGAAAATAGACACCGACTCTTTACCTCGAGAGCCGTATATAGCTTTGATAAAGCATGGCAGCTGCAGAGATCAAGTCAAGCTAAGGAATGTTGCAGATGGCAATGCTTCAGCGGCGGTCCTCTACAACGACAACCACAGTACAAGATTTATAAAGGTAGAACGAAGAGGTATGGTTTCTTATTAACTTTGTTGAGAGGGATGAACTAGGAATCCATAGTTTATGTACTCTCCCTGCATTTTGGGGATTGTGTTATAAATCAAGTATTCTTAATTCATTTTCCCCCATTTATAGAATTTTAGGTATTTTTGCAACAGATAACCTACAACACGTGTGGTGACTTACCGCTCGTGGACCATTATCAAAACCAAAGAAACTGGTAACATTACTATACTAAACCGCCTGAAAAGCAGCAGTAAACGTATATACTTTATTGTATTATATTAAATTATACAACATTAGCAGAAGCGTGTACAGTACAAAGTCCGAAATCCGGACGTCCAATATCCGGAATAATCTAAAATACGGACCTCAAAACCACCAACAAAGTTTTTCTCGTAAGCTTTACGCATGCACATTTGATTACCCCCTCCGCGCATAATAAAACATCTGGAGAGTCCCGATTTTTAATTTCACTTCGACACTAAATAAGACATTAAATAAAATATCTTGCTATTGAAGAAACAATCATTTTGGCATAAATTTGTACGATCAGTAATTTGGCTCTGTTGCTGCGTGTCTGCTTCACACACATCTCAAACCGAAACATTGCACATAGATACATCGTTGATCTGACGCCAACCTGGCGAATCATTATTTATAATATTTTGCTTTCATCACTACATGTTTATGGCGATGATTACAGGTTCAAGTTAAATGCGCTAAAAATGTTGACGAGGAAAATTTTGCCAAAAATTTCTTTCCATATGCTAAAAATAGATTTTGTTGATGATATTCATAAACCCAGAGATTACATTTAGGGCTATTTGAATTAAGAATAACTGATTTGTGTATTCACATAAACCCAGAACCAGCGCCAGGGCTCGTATGGCCTCGCCGCGTCGTAGAATTTAGGATTCCCAGAGACCGCATCAGGCAGTGAAATATCTATCGCCGGCCCTCAATAAGGCTTAAGTATATGGTGAAAATTTATTTATTTAGAACTCTGATGAGCCTTAAGCATGTGCAAGAAATAGACATAAGTATAATAAATAACTAAACTAATACAATTCAGGCTTAATTGTCTCAGTGTGCGAGATAAAATTTAACGGAACAACTTGTGGTTAATCGCTAAGCTCATGATGCATAGTGTATAGTGAAGGATAGGTAAATTTGATGATGATAGCCGCTAATTTTAAAAGGTTTTTGGATATCGCAAAACAAAGATGAAATTTTCCAGTTAACGGATTTTGTAAAGAAATTTGGAGAAGCGGTAATAAATGAAGATGATATAAAAAGAAGTTTTTATATCATGAATATGGCGAAATCCGTAGTACGGTTCTAGATCCTGAAAATACCGCTATGGATGGTGAAGAATGTGACAGAGAATTTACTGAAAACAAGAAAATTTCTATTGACAAGTTAGTCGGAATTCTCGAAACAGCAGTTACATTACTTCAACAATGTAACTAAACAAGAGATTATGTCTGTCTACAGAATTAAAGAGAAAGTATTAACACAAAAAACGAACAACTTATACTTCAGAAATGTTTAATAAGATAAACAAATAAAAATTAAGCTTTTTTTTTTTTTGTAAATTTTGATACCCTTTAGATCATAAATACTTCATTATTTCATATTTTTAATTTTATAATTTCTACATGCCATCTTACTAGATTTAAACTGATGATCTATTATCCGGAAAAATCCCAAATCCGGAATCGCTGAAGACCCGGCGAGTCCGGATTTCGGACTTTGTACTGTACTAACGTTGTCTTGAAGAAGAGCTATTATATCCCTCAGTAGTCATCATTGTACTTCTACACACATTAAAAAAGCAATTCAAACGATCCAATTTGGCGTCTGTCAGTTGAAGCAGTCCTATTTTACATTTGTCAATAGTTATTATTTTACGACTGTAATCAGATTTAAAACACGTAGCCATTCCTATTTTTCATTCACTCAAATCTTGTCCTGATGTCTCTCAACATAGCAATAAATTTGTCCCCTTTGTTGGCAGATCGCAATCTGAATTCTGAACGGAGCAGCATCTCGGATGTTGTTCCTCTCATATTCCGTACATGGCCACACAAAAATTCTATCGTCTGAGTGTTGGCACCGTAGCAGGATTAACCGAATTCGTCTGATGATTCACCGGCAGGTGGGTGTATCACCTGATTTATATTCATAAGCAAAGACAAATATAGGATAGGTGGCCTGTTGTTGTAGTTATTGCCGGTAGGTCACCTGTTGTGAGAATATAGGATTTTAATTTATATGTATGTTAGGAATAGTATACATATTTGTGCATTTGAGTAATGCTCACTACAATGAAGGGAGACTTTTATCAGATTCTTTTTTGAAAGCATTGAACCTTTTTAACCTTTTTACCTGAACATAGCACCTATATAAGAAAGAGTAATTTTAGGGCTTAAATAGGCATCCTACGAATTATTGAGTTTCATTCCAGGTTGTAGCAGCAAAGTCAATATCACAATAAGTATCATGAATTTTTATTAATGGAGGAATGTGTGGTAGCTTGAAAGATTACTCAATTAGTCATAATTAATGGAATATCATAGAATTCATAGAATATCGATTACTTGTAGTCATAAAATATCGATTACTTTTAGCATTCATAGAATATGAATAGTAAGTTTCATATAATTACGATACAATAACACGCCGAACAAATATTAACTTAGAAGCCAAACAACAAAAATCAGCGTTATATTTTCAAATTTTCACAGGACTAGTTTCGATGGTTTTACCGAACCATCATCCTCAGCTGCAAATGGAAGCCATCGAAACTAGTCTTGTGAAATTTTGAAAATATAACGCTGATTTTTGTTTGGCTTCTAAGTTAATATAAGTTTCATATATTTAAAATAGTTTTGCAGATTAGAAATTATAAGCTGTCACAACCACTTTTCTTTTCCCTTTTTAGTTCCTTGTATGAGCCCACCAGCGGCCGAGCGGTAAAGTCGCTGAACACTGGTAGTTCGGTCCGAGGTTCGAATCCCGCGAACGGGCTGGCTGCATGGGCGTTTTCGTGGTTTTCCCCATGTGTAACGTGTATACGAGCCAGTTTCCCTTAGAAAGTCCTCCACAAAGGCATCCCTCCTCTTAGGCAGATAGCCCTCGAGGCTTTGCCATACTCACACACACACACAGTTCCTTGTATGAAGTAAAGCGAGTATTGTAATCGCGAAAATTTTCGGATATCATATTTCAATGAAAATATCCATTTTTGACTGCTATCGAATGCAATTTAACGATGTTTTTGCGTGACATCCGTTCGTAAGGACAGAATAAAGAACTCTTTTACCCAAAACGGGTTGCAAAAAGGATTTAAAATGGATTCAAAAGAGATTTTTTTATGACGTCTGTGCGTGTGTATGTATGTATGTATCTCGCATAACTCAAAAACGAAGTTTCAGAACCTTGAAATTTTGTATATAGGACTACTATACTCGCTCTGTTACTCGTCTCCGTGAACTCATTTTTTTATTTATTTTTATGTCTTGAAAAATTGTGCATTTCTTCCTTTAAAAAAATTATTGAATTATATTGTTCTTATCTTCTGGTTAAGGTTTTCATACCTTTAGTTAATCTGCATGCAATAGCGGTAGAATTATCAACAATTTAAAAGTTATTTAAGTGCGGCTGAGCCCAATTGTTTTACTATAGCAGCCATATTTGTTTACATTTGAAACTTAGCAGAATAGTGAAATAAGTCAGTTTCTGTACCTTCAGTGTCTTTTGCCGAGTGGGACCAAAAATAAACTTTCAGTTATGTGCCTCGAAAAATCTGCCTCCTAGCCCGCTGGCCGAATAGCTTGTTTTTGCGTAGAAACTCTCAATTTATTAATTGTAAAAGTTTTTTTTATTTAATTATTTTAACTATATTTGGTGCTTTATATTTTTCAGTTTTCAAGAAATATATTGTGAGGTTTTATGTATTTTTGTCTTGTCGCAAAGTGAGAACTGAATTAATTGTATGAGAAATAACTGAATTTCGTATCGTCTTCATTAACTGTAAATGCGGCTTGTTTGCAGGTTTCTTTCAGCTGAAAATTACCATTAATTCATTTTTCAGACATACTTAATCAATATACTAGCCATAATTTTTGAGTAAACTTCCAAATCTTTTATTGAGAAAGTACGTAGGTTAAGAGTACTTCGAAGAATCGAGTGATACTTCGTACACATACTCGATACTTCGAAGAACCCAGTAAGCACACACACAAAAAACGGTTTTCCATGATCTTGCATTAAGGTATCATTTTGATGTTGAATATTTGATTTGAAAATTTGAGAATGTTACATTCTACAATTTGTCCTGAGATCTTCTGAAATTCTTCGTCATCGTTATATTAGGATTTCAGTATAGTTGATGGGAGCAACGGTACCTTCATATACCTCCAGAAAACAACTTTTAAAGCTTTTTATACAGTTGTGTGTTTCAGCTGCCTTACTTTCACAGTAAACAATATCGAAGAAGGAGCATCCAAAACAGGCAGAACAACATATCAGTGAAAGAAAATATCCCATAATAAGCTGCAAGAAGACGATAAAGTAATATTTTTAAAAAATTCTGAACGGGGAAATCGCAAAAAGTAAAAACAACTAAAAATTCAAAGGAATTAACGCTGTAGATTTCCAAGGATTGGGTTTTTAAGAGTGCAGTGCGAATTAGTGAAAAATTAATTTGTGAAAAAGATGTACGTGAACTTTTGAAGCGAATGTTTTTAAGTAGGGATATGCTGCAAAAACTGTGTTGAATTCTCCCTTTCGAATATTTATCTCTTTAAATAGTGAGTAATAGAAAATAAAATGAAAGGTAAATGAATGAAAAAGTAAATAGAACAAAATAAAATAAAATTCCTTACTGATTCTTAAATGAATGGGTTTACAGTTACGGAATAAATTATTAAGGAAACTTTCTAACTCAGCTGTTGAATGGTATTCAACGTTATACTTGCTTTAAAAGTGCAGTGATTTAAATAA